ATATATATATATGCATGATCTCACCTTATCGACGCAAATTTTTCTTAAAACATATTTTAAACTAAAAAAAATTTAGCAAAAATAATATAATAATACGATAAAACAATAGAATACGTGTTTGGATGGAAAATATGAGATTCTATCAAAATATGTATCTTATGATTTTGTCATACCGAAAAAAAACAAGTGACCCACATCCGCAAGATTCCAGGCAAAACATTATCGACGGTGTCGATGTCTTTACCAAGTCGATTTAAAATACGACCATTGGGAGTGGTGTCGAAAAACGAAATAGGATTGCGAAGAACGTTTCCTATCAATTGCTCGAAAGTACTCTTGGAAGCAATTATAGATCCAATCGCCAGAAATATTGACACTAAAAAGTTGCTGAGGCCTATAAAAATTAACAATGGTCAAGTTAACGGTGGAGCAAACCTTATTTACTTTAGCAACTACACGAAGAAAATTATTTAGAAAATCGTTGACTGTTAAAAAATGTTGTAACGTTAAGAAATTTACTACCGGTTATAGTTACGTTTACGAAAATTTAGGGATAATGTTTCCGTTGAATGTAAAATATACCTATTTTGAAATTGTTATAATTTTGAATATAGCACTAGTGTTTTTTTAAATAGCTAATAAGCAGATAAAAAGCTATAATTTAATGAAGTATTTCAAACTCTTGCGAACTAATACAATTTACGTTTGAGATTCATTTTTATTCACGTAATCAAATGTCACCGATGTTTTGTTAACATTATTTATAATATTTCAAGTTTTGAATCAAGTTCACTCGTGGTACAAATGTTGGAGCAGAAAAAAATTTTTTTTCCAGAGAGTTCACCGCGTGGGCAGATATTTCCTGTAAAGTCAAGTCCCCAGATTAGTCGGACACTTTGTACATAGCATCCTATACTCTAATAACCAATGTGCATAATATATTTATGTTGTCGATAGTGGAGAATATATCACTCGAGGCTATCCAATCGCACCATCGAAACATTGCTCTTACTCGTACCAGGCTAAGTATTATTACAAGCAGCCAAGACAGGTCATAAAATCGATCTGCATGGATCTCGTGTTCCAGCTGTAGGTCAAATTACGACAAGCATTTACATTCGTATGGACATTTAACTCTGTGATGGCAAATTATTTACACGCGATTGATTTTGCGCTTAACGCTTTCTGTGACGAAGATATTATACGGGTATTGGTTTAGTATTTAGTGCAGTTAATGTACTGTAAACATGTAAACAATTCATTCGGTATGTTTATTATACGTAACAAAATGCATTCAACATTAAAAACATGTGGTTATCTCGATCATTACATGAATCAACTATTTAAGAAATATCTATTCGTCTACCCCACGTTATCTATTCACGAGCCTTATAGTGCTAATCTAACTATTTTGACAGACATTAGGTAAAATAATGTCGACGTATCTACCAAGTCGATTAAAAATATAATCAAATCGGGAGTGATATCGAAAAACAAAGTAAGATTGTGTAAAACGTTTCCTGTATCGATTGCACTTGATAATATTTTTGGAAGCAATTACAGATCCATTTGCTAGAAATATTGATTCCAAAAAGTGGCCGATGGCCTAAAAAATTCGCAGAAGTCGAGACATTTGGTAAACCTAATTGCTTTTATGAATTGCAGGTGTAATAACAAAAAGTAAGCTTTAAAACAAGTTAAAAAAAAAAATCATGCTAATCACTTAAACGTCAGAGTATAAGTGAAAATGAAATAATCATAAAAAACGATGGACTATAAAATTGTTATTTTTCTCTCTCCCGTTTGCAAGTAACAAATTTTTAAACTGTGCTTTGCTTTGGACACAACGGGTGTATTGTATGCCACTACGTGCATCGTATTGCAATTTTTACACCAATACGTACAAAAACGATTGTTAGTACTACACACTTGTGATAAGAAATTTTCAATCGAACTCGTGGAGCGTGTGTTTCGTGATAAATGCGTTATCTACTCACTATTGACTGGCAGATATAAAATCAATTAGTTTTTCGTACCTATTGGTGGACCATTGTGTAAGTTTTGTTTGGATTCGATTCATTAAAAGTGATATTATATCATCAACTTATCGTTTGCTGATGATCGACACTATAAGAAAAGCGAACAAACAACACGGCAAGTGACCGACCCGCGTATTTAACGAGTGAAAAAATGTTTTTTCCTGCTTCGAGCAATTTTTTTTTTTTTTTTTTTTTTTTTTTTATTTTGAACGATTGCAGTGCCCTTGGGAAACAGGAAGAGCAGAGCTCGCATCCGGTGCGCATTAATAACTAGGGCAATCCCAAGGGATCCCTCGGGCTCAGTACTGGCAAACGCGCGCAACTAGATGTGAAATTTACTGTTCTGTTTTGGCAAGGACCGGCCCGGGGTGCTTTGTTTTTCGCAATGTGAGATCCATGAGTATCAGTCACGTACCGAGCACAAACAAAACAGCCAGGCTTTAATGTTGGGCGGCAACACGTCATCGATTATGTCTACGTCTTTGCCGAAACGATTTAATATTCGGCCGGACGGGGTCGTGTCAAAGAATCCAATCGGCGAGCGTAGGATGCCGAGCAATAAGCCGTTATGCAGCTGGTGGCTGCAACGCAGACAGCCCACGACCATTGCCAATTGTGCGAGACACACAAATATTGCTGAAATTCATTTGCAGTGTTCTCAAATTGATTACTTGCCTTTTTCTTTGCACAACTAATAACTATACATGTGTAGCGTATAGTGGAGTTGACCCCCCGGAGGTACCCAGGAACCGGACCAATCGTAACTTCGTATATGACATAATATTAAAAATTTTTGCTATAATGGGTGTCGAAAAGTCAAATAAAATCGGAAGATGTGGATACTTAGCTTTGGCAGAATTTTGCAACAAAGGTCGCGTTAAACATTTTTTTGCGTTTCAAAACAAAGGTTTGAATCGTACGTGCAAAGATAAGACAAAGTGCGCAATGAAAAGATAACAGTAAGCGCCGATTGAACTTGATCGTCCTAGTGGTTCGTAAATTTAAGAGTCGATCGAAAATGTTGTAAAAATCAGTAAATTGTTTTCGGTCTTGAGTGCCTGACACTCGGATTATTTTCACCCTCCATGAAATGGGCACTCGTGCGATAATCAATAACTTTCCGCACTTGTTACGTAACATAAAATTCTTTTTTTTTTTTTAATTCCGTTAACGATTTATCTTTTACGTTAGGTGTACTATTTAAGACGCATTACAAAGCACATGTGATTTTTTTTTTTTTTTTTTTTTTTTCCAACACACTTTGTAAAGAGTTATTTTACTAGAAGCAAGCTGGTCTTAAAATATCTCGGCACAAAATTTTTTTGGGTTGCTGTAATGTTTCGCGTGATTTTTTTTTCTTCAAAGAATTAACCATACATGAATTACGATTAGTGTATTAAGTGTTACGTTACTTCGAGTACCAAGGAAAATTAAGGAGTAAATAGAGTTCATGATCTATTTCTGACATGAAGACGAGTACATGTGTATATGAACAACTAGGCTGATAATGCCATGCACGAATCAAGACATTAGTTGATAAAAAAAACTAACGTTCAATGAATTGTGGGAGATAAAAAACTATGAATCGAGCAATCAAGTATTTCTACTTATGTAAAAGATTGAACATTCTCAAAAAATGTCACTAAGATGTGTGAAAAGAAATTTAATAAGTTGTATTAACGAGACTCTAAGATAAAAATTTAATCGAAGACACAGCAAACCACACTTCCCCTACAGCTTCGATTTAGTATTAGTTTGTTATCAACAGATGCACAGTACTTTTTAGTAACTTTGTTACGTGAATGAATTAAATTACTACTAAACGACATGTCTTCAAAGAATTGTATATGCATGACAAATTTACACGAATCGGATACGGTAGAATTTTTTTTACAAATGTAGGGTGAGTTTTATTAGGTGGTTTTCAGACAATTAGTAAGGAGGAAATGGTAATATTTATTTCTCTATCTTGAAATATTTTTAATTTCTGGCCCAAAACTTATAATAATTTATATACTGTATTAACTAGGCTGCTTGTAATCCTCATTATTTATGGAAAAGATATCCATTAGGTTACTCGGTTGAAAAAATTATACTTAGGCGTAAAATGTATTAATTTCAAACATACCTTGTCCCAAACCGAATGCACCATACACACCAAGGTACATATTTTGCTTATATGTATTAGCTGTACCATTGACAACTGTCTCGTTGTCACTAGACCATGCACTCAGCCACAGATTTGCACTGATACTAAATGACTGAAAAACTGCATTCATAATAATAGTAGACACAGCCAAAAACCATCCTATCGATTGTAGATAGTGGGAATATACTGTCCATTTAACCTGTTGAAATTTTATCATTAAACTTTTGATATCCTTGTCATAAAAAACAAATGAATCAAGTATCAGAAACTTACACTGCCAGTTTCAGCCTTTTCAGTCTCTATTAATTTCTCTCCAGTTTTGTACTGATTTTGATTAATTTCCTTTACATTATTACTTTGTACCAAGCTCCCAGACTGTTGACTGTCTGTAGAGGGTTTTCTGAAAATCGTCATAAATTGATTTAATCCAATTCATGAATAGTTAAAGTTGCCATTGGTTTTTTTTAGATTACCTATGCAGAGATCCATTTAAAGACTTTTTATCCGCTATGGATGTTGAATCACTTATACTAACAGAAGCTCTTGTTCTAGCTTGAGAAATTTTTTGTTGTAACTCTTCACTTCCAATAGTATTTTCTAGTTTTTGCTTGATTTCCATCAAGTCTTCACTACTTTCTTCGTCGGGCTTTACTGTTGTAAATGAAGTTTAAATAAATATTAGATCGATTGCCAAAGTAATTAGATTAAAAATTTACAACCATGCTCAAGAAACAAAAAAATTTTGTGTTTTATTCTGAAATTCATGAAAGTAACATTATAAAATTAAAAGGCCAAGGTTAAGTTTTTTAATAAATGAAACGAAAAATTCAAAGCACTATCTAAAAAGCCACACACGACACTTTCTACTGTAGTAAATTTTTTAGGACGAAACACAGTGAGTATATATTATTTAACGATTTTGAAACTAAAAATAATAATAAGATACTGAAGCCTAATACTGAAAAAATTTTTTACAATGGCTGATCAACTTACAATTTCCAACTTAGCCCCCATGTAAAAACACATTTAAAAATCATTATTATTTTAAGATACTTGAGAACTTAGAAAATGAGTAAAATTATCCATCAAAAATTAAATACCTTCTTGTAAATGTTGCACTAAGAAATCGGCAAAGGATCCGCGTTTATCTAAAAGTTCTTTATAAGTTCCACTTTCGCTGATTTCTCCATCCTTTAACACGATGATGTGATCTACTTCAGGCAAGTACGTAATGCCGTGAGTCACAAGAATTCTGGTTTTTTTCTTTATCAAACCACGCGATCCGATTAAATTTTCAAAAATATGTTTTCCTACGTGTGAATCAACAGCACTAAGAGGATCGTCGAGGAAATAGATGTCGGCATTGTTGTACACAGCTCTTGCTAGTGAAACTCTTTGCTTCTGTCCTCCAGATAAATTTATACCCTTTTCACCAATTTCAGTCTGATCACCAGCCGGTAACATTTTAAAATCTGGAGTTAAAGCACACGCTTCCACAACGCGATGATACAAAGCTTTATTGAAAGGCGAGCCAAACAGAATATTGTCTTGCAGAGTAGCATTCTGTATCCAAGCTTGTTGAGATACGTAGGCAATTTTGCCCTGTAAGAAATTAAGCAATGCATTAACAATTATCATAAAAGAAGGATAAAAAATAATAGTAAATTGATTTTTACCTTCGTATTTACTTTGCCACTCAGTTTTTCCATTTCACCAAGCATGGCCGATATTAAAGAGCTTTTACCCGAACCAACACTTCCCACAATGGCAACTAATTGACCTTGTTTGATTTGTAAATTGATGTTTCGCAACATCGGCTTCTCTATGTGTTCTGAATCCCAAGCAAAATTACCGTTTTCGATAACTATTGGGTTAACTAAAGCGTAAAATAATTTTGGATTAGAGAAACTGCTTATGTGATGGTATTTAAAACTGCAAAAACTATTTAACGTAACTACCTTCTGACGTTTCATGCTGTACATTATTTGGATCTAACTCTTCAGAATTCATAAACTTGTTTATACGTTTTACAGATACTGATGCCTGAAAACAATAATTTTGATCAACTATTGAAGTACTTATAAAATAAGATTTAAAAAACTTACTTGAACTACGTAGCTGACCATCATTGGTAACATGGACAATGGGAACCTTAAAATGTTGAATAAACTCAAGGATACGAAGGCTGTTTCACTATCCAAAACATTTTTTTCGTCTATCAACACAAATGTTGCAAACGACACTAAGGATACCTACAAAAAAAATTTTTCTTCATAACGTTAATGCCAGGTGTAAAAATTAAACAACCTTTGTTACATACCATGAATGGGGCACAAGACCATATAAAACTAGTTCCTGCGCTGATGTAAGCCGCCTGTTTTAGTACTTTAATTTCTTTATTTCTAATTTTTAAAATTTGTTCCTCAAATGAAGGTTCCCAAGCGTACAATTTCAAAACTTTGATACCGCTCAACACTTCATTCATTAACTTGACCCTATCATCTTTATTTTTCATCTGTTTGATTTGCAAGTTCCTTACTTTGCCAGCAAGTAATGCATTTACAGGGATTAAAATTATCATAACTGCTAAGCCAGATAAAACAGATGGTCCTAAGATGCCCCACAAAAAGTACAAGGCCAAAATAATCTGAAGTGGCGCAGACCAAATCATATTTATGTACGTAGTCACATCCATAAATCTTTGCGCATCTACAGACATCAAATTGACAATTTCCCCGACAGTCGATTCTTTCCTTGCCGAGTTAGACATTCTCAAGGCTTTTCTGTAAATTGCTGCTATGAGGGCCGTTCTCATGCGTAAACCAACCAACAACATTCGATGAAAGTACTGTGCCAATACCAAAGTTTGAATTATTGCGGTAAAAAAAAGTAACACCGCATAAAGGTAACCCTTCCACAATGGTTCATCTTTTGATTTCGTGAATTGTATAAGTAACCTGAAACAGTGGATATTTTTGTTGAAAAGTGTAAATAATTTAAATTTTTTGCTCGTTACTCACTTCAATATTTGTGGACTCAAAAAGGTCATGATATCTTGTACGACTTTCAACATGACACCAAACATAAAAATGGGTCCAAATGCTTTGCACAACGGTGGTAAAACTGAAGCCGTTTTTTTCTTCTTGCCACTGCTAAAATCAACTCGACCCGATGATTTACTAAACACGGCGTTTGCTCCTTGTGAACTAGAATAGTTATCTTTACATTTAAAATGCAATATAAACAAATTCAACATCAATTTTGATACATCATACATTCAACGATCTTTTAACACTACTTACAAGAGTTCCAAAATTGTCTTGATAGCAAATGAATACAAAATTTTTATTACAAAAAAGTCACAGCACACATGACAAAGATTAATTTATCACTTTATAATGTCAAAGAAAGTGATAAATAGTGAAAATGTAGTTTGACGTTGATGAATAAAATATTGAATTAGAAATATACTCACTTGTCTACTTTGCTGAGACTTTTGTTCCAATGTTTGTCAAATAAAGGTACAATTTCTTTAGCCATATCATTGGGGTTCATGGACCACAAATCAGATGTTTGTAAAGGATTTTTAAACCCTTTCCAAGCTAACGAATTGAACCACCCAAAAGTGAGGCGCGATGGAAAAGAAGCACTCTGCTCTGGACATGGTGTTTTTACCTGGTAGTTTAACAAAATATTGTTTATTCGAAATTTTGACGAATAATTTGATTTTAAAATTCAAACAATTTTTTAACTTGTCAAACACATACACGTGGATATTCTGAATATTTCGGCTCTGCATCTACTAAAAAGTTGAGTAGGAACATCATTACCACTAATGGATAGTATATATTGTATGATACATATTCGTACAATGACCCAATCTAAAAAAAGACTTGACAGGTTAAAATGCAAGAAAAATAATTACAAGTAAAAAACATTATGTGTACATTTATTTTACCTCGTTGTACGATTTTGTCAATAAACTTCGATATTGTACAATGCCACAAATTGCAAGAAGGCACCAAAACATCCACAATAATCCTGAGGTTCTCATACCATACTTTTTGTTATAAATTAATAATACAAGACATAGAATCTGCAAAATCAAAAATTCATAGTTAAAAAGATTCGTGAGAAATGTTACTTGTCAAGAAAAAATAAGTAAACTTACAAAAGTTAGTATTTTTATACAAGGAGTTAAAAAATCTACATCATAGACTATGTTGTCTAATACCCAGTTTCTTATAGTTTTACCCAAATCCAAAACTGTGAGTAAAATTAATGCAACTGTGATAATATATTTTGAGATAAACAGCCATGTAAGTGGAATATTTTTTCTCTTGCTGTTGACAAGGTAGTAAGCTTCGAAGGATGAACATATCCATAAGAAAATACATGGTACCCATATGAGAACTGTTTTCTGAAAACATTCTGTCAGATCTGGATTGTCGGTGTACCACGACAAGTTTGCGTCCTAAAACAAATAAATTTAACAATTATTTCAAGTAGGTGTCAAACAATATCAACTATATTCACGAAATCATTTATCAATTGATACAGATGTCTTAGATAAAGCATTCACTTAATCAAAACAAACGTAAGAAAAAAATAACAAAGCAATGATAGAGGAATGCTTTTGAGTTGTACTCTCTCAACAACGATTTTGTAGCATGCAATTTAGGTTAATCAGGCTCACTTATAAGCACAACACTTGCTGAACAACGATGATTGATCTTCCCAGGAAGATTAAAATCTCATATTCGTAATCGTGTCATGCGATTTGAAAATATATATATATATATATGTATTTTTACCTTGAAAAAAATGTGAGTTAAAATTTTTATTTTTGCAAGCCACGGGTGATAAAAATGCAATTATTGAAAATAAGTTAAGTATAATAAATACAACAATGATTCGACGGATTTATATAAAACGAAAAATAGGTTGCAGTGAATTACAGTTTTACATAACAGATGAAGATAGAAAGAAATCGAGCAAGTGATTTGCAAAAAATAAAAATACGCTTCAAGCACGCAACTGTAAAAAACACCAGGAGCAACAGCGTTCTGCTTAGATTAAATCGTACTTGTCAATGTACTTTTAACGACCGAAGCTCATATCGCTCCGTATGCAGCAAAACCTAAATGATAATTTACGTCAGTGCAGATAACGGTAAAATGATCGAATACACACGTGTGATGTAACTGCGAATCGTGAAAATTAACGAAGGTAAATCTGTCGTGAGGGAATTGCACTGGATATTTAAAGCAAAACTCGAGGTAAAAAATGCACAAGTGCAGGGGAAGTCGTACAATCGTTTGTATGGCTTTTATGTTTTGCAAGCGCGACGACAGCCAAAACATTCCCGTTTACCTTACCCAATTAAACGGTGTAAGTCTTGATTCCCCATGAGAAATTATTATGCTCGGAACGCGACATACGTTCGGAACAAAGTGTTTTTTATAGACGATTTGTCATGACAACAGAAAGAAGGGCAGAGCATAATAAAAACACATTTTCTATACTTACTTTTACCCTTTTTCCCCCCCGCCTACGCGCGCGCATTTCTCATCATCCATTGCGATTTCCCCCTTTCTTCGTAAAAATAAATGAAAATACTTGCGTAGAATTTAAATTGTAAAGCGTGACTGAAATATTACGATAAAATACGTTGTGAAGAAAAATAACTCGGTACGTAATGACAACTCACCCAAAACTTGGAGCCGCAAAATTGGTCCATCGTATAATTCTCCATTTTAACTGCACATTAATCACTCTGCGCATCTACCCCCGGTTGCACGAATCAACAAAAACTCTGCGTCAAATATCACTGACGCCATCCGCTGTAGCTCAGCAAACACACGTCTGCAATGAAAATTATATATCTGCAAGCAAACAACCCTTCTTCTGCAGCGATGGAAATCGAACTTTTGCACGCGCTTTCGCTTCCTCTTCTATCTATATCTATACTTTCTTCCTCTTTCGGTGGTTGTATGTGTATACGGGCTGTTGATTTGTCACTCTCTTCTTTTTCCTTTTCTACGCGCACAAAGAAATAAGTTTTACATGTCTGCAATTCTGCAGGGATGACTGACCAGACTGACTCCACGAGTTTCGCTATCCTTGACTCGGATCCTTACGGCACGAGAGATTGATGCCTGTAAATGCCTGTATACGACCGCTGACCTCGTGCGAAGAGCGAAGACTGATGCACAAAGCAAGATTGAGCGAACAGCGAGACCGCCTCTGCAGTCGAGTACATCTGTCCCTCTCTTTCTCACGTACGTCAGAATGTCACAAACTTTTTGCGGCTGTTCTTTTTTTTTCAATACCTACACTGTGTCGTGTAGTGATGTGTAAGTGTGTATCCGTGACATCCGTGTGTGCCAACTTACACCCATACACACATACTTGATCGGCGTGAAAAGTAACAACTAGCGCTTCCTAGCGGGGGAAACATAACCTACGCCTACCCCCCTGCCTGAATTCTTTTTTTTCAAGTTCAAACTAAAAAACCGCCAAGCCAATGATAAATAAATCTCAGTTAATGTTGTATTTTTTTGACAAAAGAAAAAAGAAGTGTTACGTATTACGATTGATGTCACCTTTTATTGAAACATGAATGAGTAATAATCATAATAATAAAAACGAGATGTGTGTATTATACAGTACAGGGAAGGTGCAGTGCACGTTTTACAATGAAATATACTTTTTGGACATTTTTATTTCAAGTAACGCGCGTTTATGTATGTTAACAGTTTGTCAGTGTTTCTTTAAGGCTTTCGCATTTATATGATTTGAGCAGTTACATACTACATGTAACAAACTAAAAAGTCCATGATTTCTGTTCAAGTTGTGTTTCTCTCCAACAGCTGTAGAAACTTTAACATACGAAATAAAAAGAAAAAATATAATCTTCAAAACTCGAGTAGAGCACTTCATGCTTGATTGTAGCTTATTCATTCGTCGTAGATACAATAAATAATATAAGATCAATTGACATCGACGATCACGTAAAAGTTGTTTGTTGTATTGTATAGGCAACTCAACCACATAATACACTAGCTAGCGTATAATTATCTCAAATCTCGCACACGTCATGCATCACATATATATATATATATATATATATCTATATACGATTACAGTGTGATTTGCAATGTGTGCCAATTAATGCATTATCTTGTGCAACACTTACTTCAGTAATACATGTGTATATTGTACGTGCAACGAGCAAAACACGAGGATTAAGATTTTTGTCTTTGATAAAACTCGAAAGGTTGCAGTGCCTCCACACTACCGTTTCGATTTGATGTACTATACGTTTTATTTTTGTACGTACACGCTATTCTGTTGTTTTTTTTTTTTTCCTCTTCTTCTTCTGTATAGTCCCGTTGGCCTTAATGTCGTTGCTTCGTCGAGTGTGAAACGGAACTTGCATAAACTATTTTGTTTGTCCCTCGCACTTGCGTCTCTTTTTTTTTTTGTTTTTTTTTTGTTTTTTTTTTGTTGCCTGTCGCAGCATCGTTCCTTCATTAAAGTTCCCTCTCGCACATGAAACCAAAATTTCAACACAGGTTTTTCGCATCTTCGTTCAAATGTATGTACATGGATGATGTAGTATTATTGGCCGCAATAATTCTTCGTTACGGTCCATAGAGAGGCGAACAGCGTAGGTATACATGGCAATGGTGGAACTGTTATTTGAAACAATGGTGAGAAGTAATTCGAATCTTAGCCAAGTGGTTCGACGAACATTCCGACGCTCGTGGAACTTGAAAAATTTGTTTTTGCCCCAGTGCACGACACATCGTGTGATGGTTCGAGGTAAGTATCACTTCAGGGCTATACTTTCGTAATTCTCGTGAAAAATTTTGCATCTCCGTAAGAAAATATACACGTGCCCACAAATACCTATACTTGTTGCAAAAGCAATACGCATTGCGTTATAATTATGGAAAGAAAAGGAAAAAAAGTCATGACGAACGCGTGAAGAGTTGCTAAATAATTTATTGATAGTTCCGTGGGAAATAAGAATGTTCAAAAAGTCGAGTTGATAACGTAATCGAGATTTTTTTATCGGCTATGCGATTATATACATTCCACTCTCCTTGAGTTCGTTTCAATTGTAGTTGAAATAGATAACTTAAACGGTTTCGTGAGAAAAAATCATATCGTTCATAATGAAAATGTTGAAATGGAATTTTTTTTTTTTTTTTTTTTTTTTTTCAAATTAAAGTGTTGTGCCATGACGAGGGATAAATTCGAGTAATTGCAAAAGCGATCAATTCCAATCGACAAGAACGAATCAACCGTACACGATGAAAAATGAGAAATGGGTGAGAGAGAGGGATGGTTACTCAACGAGTGTCGAGTCCATGCATAGTGCAACACACGCGTGTGTCCTTCCAAGCTTTCAAGATCTGTAAACGTTAGCATACGCGGACGGTATGAGTAATAGTGTGGAAAAAAAAAAATTCCACGTGGCTTAACATAAAAAAAAAGTAGGCTAGGGCGTGTGCACATATAGTTATTGATTGTTACAAGTAGAGACGGGATGTCTAAATATTCACGTCAAAAAATTTACTACCCGTGCTTGAAATTATAAATTCAACATGTTACTTTGTAAAACAAAACAAAAATTAGATAATCATATTTGCATCAAGTTTTTTTTTTGTTTTTTATACAATATTTACATCTCAAGCCATGTTCGGCAGCGGTACGTCAGTCAAGTCACATGACAACGTTTGTCACAGTTTACGAGAAGGACGCTGATGATTGGCACAATCTTAAACTTGTACAAGTACAAAGTTTATCTTTGAAAAAATATTATCTTCACGAGTATAATCGCGAAGTGAATTCGAAAATATTTTTATGAAAATCAGGTACGGTATAATTCGAAATGAACATTCTTATATGATCTTCGAAGTGTACAAGAGAAAACAAGGAATGGTAATTTAACAAATAATTTACGCAAGAGTTTGTTATCGATTAGATGCGACACACGCTCTGCCTCGATTGCAACTTATCGGTTAAGATGACAAGATTGTGTTGTCGCGAACTATTTGCACGCGACTTTTACCAACTTCATCCAATCAATGTGTAAAATACAATCGTGACTTAAGTACGTATCCTAGACTCGCCCCCGATTTTGCACAACTTTTCCTCAAGTTTGCTTTTTTCCGTAGCAATGTCAATTGTATATTGAGTCAAGCTCACTTATCATGTATTTATTAAATTATGTATTTGCTATCTATTCATCAAATTTTTATTTATTCATTTTTCATGAAGGAAAAAAGTTGTTACTAGCTCGAAAAACGATTAATAACCGTTGAAAATAATTCGTTTGACCGCGCTGATCAAACAAACAAATTGTTTATTGATAATATTGCTTATCTTGCGCGCAGCGTCGATAACCATCGGTATATGTTATGCTTTACTTTTTTTTTCTATCATTTCCTGGATACTTTCTACCGCATCTAAATATCTATCTATACACGTCCGTGTACAACCAGTAAGCAAAAGTGAAAGTGTGAGTATATAGGTACCTCCTTATCGCGCGTAGAAACTGTGGAAAGAATTTTGAAAGAATTATACCTGCGTGCGAGATGAGCCTCAGTTTTCCTTTTTCCCCGTGAGAAACCGAGCACCATAAACGCGCGAGTAACAGATAAAAATTTCAAGGCCAGAGGACAAATCCGAAGTAAACACCAGATGTGGCCCCGCTGAATAACAAATAGGCCGCGCGCCCCCCACCGGCTATCAATCATTGGTGCGTCCTTTTTTTCTCCCCTGCTCTCGGACAGGCGGGCCCAAACAAACTTTACCGCCACAACATCTTTTGGAGTATTTACACCCCCCCCCCCAACTGTTTATTTAATCTCGACGCGGTAACAAAACGTGCTAAGGGTACCTATGAAGATTTACGTGCATCTATATGGTTCTTTTTTGAAAATATTTACATTTTTTGCCATTTTTCATCAATGTGTAGATATTGCAATTACAAAAAAAAAAACAAAAAAAAAACAGAAAAAAAAACTCATTTCTATAAGTGATACCATCATTATTATTTTTATTTGCCACTCGTTAGAAAATTTTTTTCTCCAAAGATTATATGGAATAATAAATAATTGCATTTCAGGTTAAATATTTTAACTTTATGAAACAATCATTAATCGTTACCATCAATATTTTTGTCGTTGTCGTTATCATTTTTTATTATTATTGATTATCATTTTTATTACTACTAGTTATGAATAGTATTAATTAGTACTATTAATAGTATCAAGGGTATATGTATTTATCTACTGAAAGATATTTTTTTTTCGTTAAATTTATTGTTTTTTAATGATTTTTGTTGGACGAGGCGATGATACCGCGTTACATCAACAAAATTCTAGTTAAACATTAAAAAAAAAAAAAAAAAAATTTTACATTTATCGAGTTATAATTCGTCAAAGGAAACGAAAGTAAAGACGAGAAATCGCCTTTCCCCTCTCGCTGTAGTATGTTTCAGGCACTAGGGGGAGGATTTTCTCAAGTTCACAGGCCATACACCACGTGCTCGAACATGAGCGGTGGCCCCGAATCTTTTCAAGGGCGTGACCTGGAAAATGCGCTTTTCAAATTCACGATTCGTATACACTTACTTGGATCCTTTTTCTATTGCCTTGACCGAAAACATGCGCGTCAAGTATGTAGGGACTGTCGGGAAATATTCCGAGAAAAACAAGCGAAAGCTTAGCCGAGGGGTAACGTCCGTCGCCCGACGCAACACTCGATAAAGATCAAATAATTTTCAACGAAAATACCTACAAATACGAATAAAGATTTTTTTTTTTTTTTTGTATTAGGTTCTGATCTCTGTGGAGGTATGAACACACGAACATATAGATAAAAGATTTTAACCGATAAGCAATAACAATTAAAAAAAAAAAATTTCCTCGGGAGCACTATTGGATTTCATGTACAGTTTAAACCATGATCACATCATTGTCGCTGATAAGTAGACCATTGAACAGCAAAGGGCTTGTATCGTTACGGGACGGATCATCTGCATCTAGTGCGTAACTTATTCAATTAAAATTTCTACGTGGAAGAAAAATATAAATGCTTGTCTTAAGGGTACCATGTATACGATGTCTTCAAGGGGTGAATTATAACATCAAACTCTTCGGGCACTTTATATCATTACTTTCCATGCAATGAGACCTTTCGATGACATTCGTTTAATTGCATTTAGCTGCTGCATTGACACTTGAAATTAATTCCATAATGGCTGATTCTTTACTTTTATCGCTTGCTCCAAGTCATGTTTTACGCTTATCGCCGCCGGAGGCGATTAAATAAGTGCGGTGTCAACCGTACGATCGTTTTTTAATATCCATTTCACAATTGTTTTGGTATTTACTTGGATCACCTAATCTATACACAGAATATTAAGCTATCGCTTCCGTAGCCCCAGACCTTGGAGATTTAATATTTAAACTTTACCGTTCGTCTTAAAAGGATGTCTCAAATTTTTTCAGATTTTCGTACTTATCTATTATAAACAGCGTGTCATTGACCTTTTGTTAATTTAAGCTTTGTCATTATTCATATAATCCCGCCTTGTTTACTCCACAGATGATGTCAGGAACTTCTTTATCGACAGCAGGCCTGGAAACACGCATCAGATCATGCAGGTCGCTTATTTACCAAGAGAGTAATTTGTCTTTAGTAATAACTATGACAACCGATAGGGGGCTCACAATGGCAGCATCGGCAACACCGAACACGAAGCCCGACCAGCTTGAAGCCCATGATGGGCCTGTGTACATGCAACTGTACGATTATATGTATTTTATTATTTACAGTACATAACACGTATGGGAAAAATCCATGGCCATATAGATCTGCAGTAAGCTCGACGTAAGTAAGTATACATAGTTCTCAAAAATAATGAAAATGCAGCAGTAATGCAGCTTCCTTCCTTTTCTTCTTCTCCAATCGTCAGGGCCGCGTACGGCCTACGTCAGTATAAGGTTGTGCGTTGTGCGTGTGTCGCATGGTGCGTTCATAATATATCGCTTGATTCTCTCTTAAAAAAGACAGAGAGAGAGAGAAGTATATACAGAAAGAGAGGGACTGTACAGTCAACTGAGTCAACTCCGTCCGTGAGCCGCGCGCGCCTTGTGCCCTGCCCAGTCAGTCTCCGCCGTCTCTGGCATTCTGTCGGTTCGACCATTCAGTACATCCACCACCCATAGTAGTAGTAATCCCTGATTCTGGATCCCATACGTTGTCCCAGTTTTTGTTATTTTTCTACACCTAAATTTGCCCACCATCGTGGCTTTGCGTAACGCCAAAGTGTGTTGTGAGTGAATAATTTCCAACAGCCGTCACCGTCGTTCGTTTGACGTTGGATAAGTTGTAACAACAGAACATAGTGGTGCAGCAGCCGGTGTCGGAAAAGAGAAGGTGCGTCGTCCTTTGACGGCGTTGCTCCTTACGTACTGTAGATACGCGCTGCAGAAATAAAAGAAAAAAAAAAGTATACTTGCATACGCACTTAATCCGATTAAAAAACCAGTGGGTAAAACAACGCATCGCTCGTGTAACATACACATGTCCAGCTACAGCTGCAGGTGAAAGAAACGGGTGTGTTGTTTTTTGTTTTGCCTGTGAGAAATCCTACAGAAGGTGCCTTTACATCACTATACAGCAACAAAAAGGCCCACCGCGGGAGCCGCGCTTTCATGGATAACGTGCAGTTTTAACAACTATAGGAGTCGTTGCAGAAGTCCAGAGAGGTAAGTTTTTAACGTTTAAGAGAAAGTGCAGTCCCAACGATTGAAACTTTTTGTATCCGCATTCGTTCTCTTTCGTATCATAAGTAATCTTAATCCACCGCCCTTTTTCTTCATGCCCAATAACCAAGAGATAAATAATAAATGGGCCTTGGGAGGGGAAAAAAAAGGAGCCGTTAGGACGATGCGGTTATGGTGGGTTAGCGAGGCAGTGAAAAAGAATTAGGTGAGCAGAACAGGCTGCCTCCTTTTTTTTTCTTTCTCTCTTGACTCTTTCGCAATCCATCCAACCGAGAGTCAGTGGTTGTTACTACTACTACAACCTACTACCACTAACAAGTATTGGGATTCCAAAAGGTCACGTGACTCTCGTGGTATATATAGTCACTTGGGGGAAAAATAACACAGGCCTTGTGGGTGCAATTATATTTTTATTTTTTTTACACGTTCAACGATTGTAATACGATAAAAGCCTTTCAATAACATATTTTTGAGGAGATGACGATACCTTAACTATTTTTTCCCAACTCAATTAGTCTTTTGCAGCTTAAAACTTTCCTTTGAAAGTGCGAAAACGCACATTTAACCTTACCAAAATCAGAATCGCCACTATAAGAACCGAGTCAGCACGTCATCAGCGTTAGAGTGGCCGCCGCGACCTGTATATGTAGTGAATATATATGTGTATATAAGACATCAGGTTCTTGGCTGGAGGAGAGCGGCACGTAAAACACGTCGACGAGGAGGAGACGAGAGAGTAAGGTAAGGGAAGAGGTGAAAACGCCACGCTTATGACTGTACACTTATCCACGTATATACATATACTGGGCAGCACAACTTGCGCATACCTACTATCACTGCTGCATGCACTATCTGTAATGCCAATTGAACTGGCTTATATTATTATTATTATGTAGGCATACGTGTTACACATTTGCACAAACAAAAACGGAGTCACCACGTACTAGTACGTATAGGTATATTTGTACCGCACGAACAAGTTTGTTTATCTGCGAAAATTGGCGTTCGCATTGTGAAAATATTGTAGCGTAAGGTCAAAAAGATGAGGTGTATGCACGTAAAACGTGTATATCTAGCTTTTCATCTTACCGGTGTATAATAAATATAATTATGCTTATAGATTAAAACATTGTTTTTGTGTTCCAAATTGCGACATACTAAAACGCACGCATTGTATAGGTACATATATTGGGATAGTGAAAGAGCCTTTTTGATATTTATGTGAGTAGAAAATTTGTTAAGGTAGATAAGTACCTAATATTAATAAGCGGATTCGTCTCCTGATGAATTGTAACGTAAGGAATCTATCGAGGCTATCTAAAATTGCGTTCGCATCGTCATGGATTATCGCTTTTTCGTGTCAAATGTAATATGATTTAACCAATTAGTATATTTCTTAGAATGTACTCCTTGTCAATAGCGAGAATAAAAAACTTAACAAAATGAACAATAGGAATGCACGTTAATTTAATACCAATTAAATACCGATTATTAGCTCGTTTCGGCACGTAATCTACAATGAAAGTAGATTAGTTATAAATTTATTACAGTGCCGTATGACGGTGAAACGATAAATTCCTCAATGTAGGTTATTTAAATTTTTTCTCTCACCCTCTGCTCGTTTTTCATTTGGGGAGGGTAGTGTGAAAAGGCAGCCTTTGAGTAATCCAGTACAGCCTTGAAAGTAAGCTTAAGCCTCGATCCCTCATGCGCTTCATCTCGGCAAATAGGGATCAGCTTTTTTCAAAATGAATGAACCATTTGTACAACACCATGAGTTTGGTACGAGCTGTGCATCGATCATCTGTTTTGATTTCCCTTTTGCAATTGTCATAATTGGTCCAACGATTCAGCACGACAACAGAGAAAATCTTAAATTCCCACGATTCTGTGTCTGTATTCGCGCCACCATCCAAAAAGGGGTTGCCAGTCGTTGGGGGAGGGGGAGGCTGTCGCTACAGGGGAGAATTATTCGACTCTCATCCTTTATTTACAAGGAGAAACACGCGCGGGCGAGACTTGCGCAGGACCATTTCTGATGCGCCTTTGCTGTCCCTTGGTTTTTTTTTTTTTTTTTTTTTTTTTTTTTTTTTTTTTTTTTTTCAATGTGGAAAATAACAAAAACACAGGAGGCTAGCAGCATTTTCTGTAGTCTTTTTTTCCCCGGCTCATTGTTGGGTGGTTATTTTATTTTTATTTTTCGCAGCTGCGTGGGCGTGTGTTGCTTCTTTAATTTGGAGAAACTTTTTTTTTTCCCTACCTCTCTTTTCTTATACGTATAGAGATTGCCTGCGCAGTAGACTCTTGGGAATATGAGGAAAGTGTTTGCGACAAAAAATAAAAAGTTGGCGGGAGGGAAAGGGGGAATAGATTACCGTGCAAGTGGTCTCCAACACAAACGTAATGCACGAGACGAAAGTGAGCACAGCGCGTACGACTAGTCGGGCCGAATTAATTGGTAATTGTTCGAAGCAACAATTAAACAGTGCACGAGTATTTTTTTTTCCCCATTATTTACGAGGGAGGGAGCAAATTGTTATTTACGTGTTTCTTCCGTGTGTCGTGAATTGTTGTTTTTTCCTCCAAGAGCCAATTTGTACAAGTCGAAAAGCACATATATTCCAAGTGCGAGTCGACGAACTATAATCAGCCGAGCTGCATGCTATATGTACTCTGTGTTCACGGTAAATAGATTTTTATTCTTGGATAAAGTTTACTTTGGTCCAGTTAGTAGCTCTTTTCTAAATGACAGCACGGGTCCTCCTTACCACCATATTCATGCGCGTATCCGTATTCTGCTATTGTTGTTACGATAATATAATATGTAATATGGTTTGCAAAAAAAAAGTCAATTTTACAGATTCTTCCCTTTTTTTTTGCCGAGCCAGCAGAAATTAATGCCAAAATGAAATTTAGTCAAAGTTGCATGAAGCCGAGTGTGTAAAGTGATAAAGCATGCAACTAGGTGGCTTGTGTCTTTTTTTTTTTTTTTTTTAATTTCAATACTCACAAAACAACAATGATGTACCTTGTAGGTTTAAAATAAACTTAATTCCCGACGTGACTCCCGTTTCCACCGTTTTGCACAATTTCGCGAATTCGTGAGTCGTTTGTCAAATAAAAATAGAACCATATGTATATGTACGTCTTATTTTTGCGATGGTAGCAAAAACATCCCGGCACACCCAAAGCAAGATAATTAACGCTTTCATGATCGTTTGTATCAAATATCTTGGCCAGAAAAATAAAAAAAAATGCACAGATGATGCAAATGTTTTCATGCAATAAGTATAAGCAATCGCGTGTAGTTCAATCGAACTCAGGTGGACGTTGGTCTCATTTTACTCTGGAACACGAAAAAATCCCGCCATCGTCGAAGCATCACCCCCAGATGATTCCAAACCAAAGCGAAGTTAAGAAAACAACAACACAAGTATACCTTGAAGCCTAGTCCTAAAAAATAAAAAAAAAATAAAAAAAAATCCATCCACCACACCAAACATCGAGATATATATATGTGTATGTAGTTACCAAAAGAACCCCCTGGAAAAACTCCGTGTTCCCGCGCACACCCGTCCATTCACCGGTACACTACGCCTACGCGCGCGTGCGCTCCGAACCCTCCGTGATCTCGTGCTCTTAAAAAAATAGCTGGCGATATGGTTTTACTCTCGAGGTCTCTGTCACGCGCTCGTCGATCGTCGATGAATTGTTGGAAAAAAAGAAAGGAAAAAAAAAAAGGAGAGAGTACAAAGTAACCATGTATATGAGTACAGCACAGTGTGTGTTTAGGAGAAAGAGAAAAAGAAGCCAGTTTGGCACGCGCGCGTGCATGCATATAACATACGTATATGTGTGTATATATACAGCAAACACGATGGTTTTCTGGATCCCTCCCCCGCTTAATCAAAGCCGGCGTCTTCTTTGTCGAGCGTCTTCTCGTTCTTTGTGCCCCCCATAAAACATCCCCTTCCGAGAGCTGAGACTACTTAAACTGTATATATACCCGTGGCCTCCTGTACCTACTTATGTCCTATATATATATATTATAGTACTCTCTGTTCTCTGTTTGTATATGTGACATAATATTGCACGTGTATGCGTGTTGATGTGCATAAGTTATACACCCGATAGCCGGGAGAGATGATGGTTTAGCACGAGGGGGATATGGTATGCGTACATAGGAAAACGGGATTATGCGGGGTAGGGGACGTACATAGTCGTACATAGTATACAGCCTCGGGGGTTGACGATGTCTGGAGAGAAAGAAAAAAAAGAGAGATGAAGAGCGAGCGCCCATTCACAGGACAGATGCGCCGATACTTTTTTTTTATGCAACGTACATATACATATACGTATAAGTACACCGGTTTTGTGATTCCCAGCCCCCGACGCCGGTGTTCAATCAGATTCTGATGCTGCTGTCTGGCGCTCTATTTTTTTTTTTTTTTTTTTTCTTCTTTTCTTTCACTCGTGCTTTCGAGGCTCAAGATACGGGGTTTTGCAAAAGTCCTTCGGGATAATTGTCGCAATTAGCCTGGACGTTGGCTAAATTCTTTTTTTTTTTTTTTTTTTCTTCTTTTCTTTCACTCGTGCTTTCGAGGCTCAAGATTTTCTTTCTATGCATTCGTTCGAGCATTCGTTTCGACAGATTGTTGATTTCTCGGTTGATTTCTTATTTTGTCTCTAAAACGTGTTCAAGAACATTTTTTTTCATTTTTATATTTCGTTTGTTGAAAAATTCGTACGTAAAACTACATATAGATGCCGAGAGAATTACCGGTCACGCGATGAATCGCTATTGAATTCTTAAGACGTGCTTACCCTTTATTCGAGCAAAGTCAAGGTGACACAAGAATATTACCCTTCGCTTGCCAAATGCGGAAAATGAAGGTGGATTCTATTTTTTATTTTTACTACGACTCGTTGCTTCTAAAAAAAAAAAAAAGAAAAAAAAAGAAAAAAAAAAAGAACGCTTCGTC